TTCTATTTCTAGTTTTTTTGAGTGTTTTGGATCATAAATGGGTGCTGAATTTCATCTTCCTGCTGTTGCCCTTCAAGTTATCCTTCACACAGCTGTCAGAATAATCCTAAAATGTTAGATCAAATCACCATTCTACTCAAAATTGTACAATACCTCCACATTTCATTTAAGGTGAAAACCAAAATATCCTAGGAGGGCCTTGTACTATCTAGTCCATTTCCCATAGTTTCCTTTTTAAATTCATCTTCTATTAATCTTTTCTCTTCATCTTTCCACTGTAGCCACAGTGGCCTAGCTGCTCTTCCTTGAATACACTGGACTAATTTCTACCTCAAGGTTACTCCCTCTACTTTGTTACTCCCTCTACTTTGTTCTTCCTCCAAGTGTCTATAAGGCTCACTCTCATTTCCTTCAGGTTACTGCTTAAATGTCACCTACTCAGGTATTCCCTGAATACCCTATTAAAAATTGCAATCCTTCCCCAATACTTTCTATTCACATATTATTTTTCTTCCTGAGGCATATTACCTTTTACTATACTATGTGATTGATAGATAGATTGATTGATTTATCTTTTTAATTTTTTTGTCTTCCCTTTACTCAAATGTAAGCTCTAAGAGGGCAGCATTCTTGGTATGTTTACTAATATACTTACATTGCTTAGAATATTAGCTGGCACATAGTTGGTGATCAAAAAATATTTGAGGACTACACCAAAGAATCAGGAAACTTTTAGTCAGTTCTGGACCAGATTTGTTGGGTGATATGGACACTTTTCTTCCCTTCTGTTTCATCATATATAAAACATCTGAGGGGATAAAACTGGATGTTTTTGTTAAGGCTCTTTCTGCTTTGAAATTCCACGAAAGATGCTATATGCCCGCTGAAGAGAATAAGTTGAGATATTATTAAGTAATCATATTGAGGAATCATATTAAGATGCTTTTGCCTGGAACCCTAAAAATACCTAAACCCTGTCTGCCCAGCCTATACTTCCTCTCTGCAAGATCCCCATAGAAATACATGCTTTTAGGAAAGAAAACTCATTCATTAATTCATTCATTCAGTGGATATGTATTTAACACCTACAATGTGCTAGGTAATGTGCTAAGCTCCTGGCACACATCAAAGAGAAAACAAGGCAAAAACCCATAACCTTATAGTAAGGAGAAAAAAAATGATAAATAGAAAAAATAAATGTATGGCCTGTTATATGCTATGTGCTATGGGAAAAGAAAGAGGATGGTAAGGTTTACTAACCTAAGGTAGATAGTAAGCTGAGTGGAGGTCAGGGTGGGCCTCATTTAGAAGACAGTAATTAAGCAAAGACTTGAAAGAGGTATGAGGGCATAACAAGTGCAAAGGCCATGCTGTAAGAGAGCCTGGCATGTTGAAAGAGCAGCAGGGAAGCCAGTGTGGCTGGAACAAAGTGAAGAAGAGAGGGCATTGTAGGAGATAAGCCAGAGAGGAACAGAAGACAAGGTCATACAAGACCCTATTAGCCATGGAAAGGACTTTGGCCTTAGTCTGTATAAGATGAAGAAGCATTAGGGGCACCTGGGTGGCTCAGTCAGTTAAGCGTTTGCCTTTGGCTCAGGTCATGATCCCAGGGTCCTGGGATTGAGCCCCACATTGGGCTCTCTGCTCAGTGGAGAGCCTGCTTCTCCTTCTCCCTCTGCCTGCTGCTCCACTTGCTTGTGTGCTCTCTCTCTCTGTCAAATAAATAAAATATTTTACAAAAAGATGAGGAAGCATTAGAAGGCTCTTGTGTAGATTATATACTGTAAGGGGAAAGGATGACAGCAGAGGCTAGTTAGGGGGCCATAGTAGTAATAAAACTAACCTTTTACTTTGGTGCAATAGAAACCAGCTTTTGAGCAGCAAGTGGTAGGGTGACAAGGGAGCCAGGATACTGCAAAACACAGTGAAATGAGAGCAGTAATGGAGGGGAGTGTGTGTGTGCTTGTGCACACATGTGTGCACATGCAGGGCTAAAAATGGTTTCCTTTCTATCTGTATCTTTTACCCCCAAAGGAAAGAATTTCCTGGATTGCCTCTTAACTTCCTGTTTCATTTTTGCATAAAGATCAAAGCAGGCCAAACCATGGAGTGGAACTAAGTCCCTATGATCCAAATGTCACATTTTGAGGGATCTCTGACCTTTCTTGAAAAGCCCACTAAAGATGATTTGCTGAACAGTAGATCTCTAGGACTTATTCATCTTGCAAAACTGAAACAGTACTTTCACTAATATGTCCCCATTCCCTCCCCACCAGCCCCTGGCAACCACCAGTCTACTCTCTGCTTCTATGAGTTTGACTATTTTAAATCCCACATATAAGGGAGATCCTATATAGTATTTGTCTTTCTCTGTCTGGTTTATTTCACTTAGCACAATGTCCTCTAGGTTCATCAATGTGGTTGAAAATTGCAGGATTTCTTTCTTTTGTTAAGACTGAATAATATTCCATTGTATGTATATACATTTTCTTATCCACCTATTGATGGATACTTAGATTGCTTCCATGTCTTGGCTATTGTAGATAATGCTACAGTGAATTTTGGAGTGCAGATATCTTTTTGAAATCCTGATTTCAGTAACTTTGGACATATATTCCCAAAAGTAGGATTGCTGGCTTCTATGGTAATTCTATTTTTAATTTTTTGAAGAACCTCCATACTGTTTTCCAGAGTTACTGCACCAATTTACATTCCTACCAACAGTGCACAAGGTTGTCTTTTCTCCACATCCTCATCAACACTTGTTATCTCTTGTCTTTTTGATAATAGCCTAACAGGTATGAGATAATAACTCATTGTGATTTTCATTTGTATTTCCCTGATGATAGTGATGTTGAGCACCTTTTAATATACCTGTGTCCATTTGTATGCCTTCTTTGGAGTAATGTCTATTCAGGTCCTTTTCTCAATTAACAGTATTCAACGGTATACTTAAAAATTTGCTCAGTGGGCAGATTTTATGTTAAGTGTTCTTGTCACACAAAACAATAACAATGACAATAATAATAAGGGTGGAAGGAAAGTTTTGGAGGGGACGGATATGTTTATGACATAGATTGTAGTGATGAGGATATTAGCCTGGGTATAGTCAGGCTGCTTTCTGCTATAGAAAAGCTTGAAGGGATCTTGAAATTTGAGGCAAGGTAAAGAGAAAGAAGAAAGGAAGAAGGGAAGACAGTATGACATGGGATGTCAGAGAGCAATAGGATGTGTTTAAGAACCAGTGAAAGCACAGCATAATCTGGTTTGTGAAGTACCCTGCCCTCACCAACATCTGCTTTCTCCTCTGCTCTGTGCCTAGGTAGGATGGGCAAGAAGTATATGGGAAGGAAGAGGGAAAAGTTATATAAATCAGTTCCACTCTTAATCAGAAATCAGTGCCCTTTGCATCTTGCTTTGATAATCTATTTATTGTGGTCTTATTTGCCATGTCCCCAGGACTGCTGGGTAGACATAAAATAATTTCCCCTTGGCATTACTCATAAAAGGCAGTATCTTGGAAATACTAATATAAGTGGAAAGAAGGAACACAATTTTCTTTATTAAACCTTCATGGAATCTTTTAAGTATCCAACACGAGGAATAGGTTTATCAGTGAAATACATTTTTTGTGTGTCAAATTCTTTGAATTATGAAATCCCCTTTATACCTTAAAAATAAAAGGTGGATTCTTGGGATATTGCAGGCTAACTTGAGAATTAAGCTTTTGTCCAAGACAACATGGAAAATTTTATAAATATTGAAGGGATTAGTTAGATCTACAAGGACACTTGCCATCTAGTTCCTCTTACTGTTTAGATGGGAGAACTAAAAATAAGAGATGGATACGTGTTTGTTGAAGAGCCTACACTTGGTTTCTGCCATTTAGTCTAGAGTTCTTGCTAATACACACCTGAGCATGTTTGTTTTAATCAGCCTGCTTTGCGCAATATCTAGTATTGCTCCTCTGATCATTTGTGAAGTGTTACACATTCACCAGGTTTAACAATTAACTAGGATTGGAGATGCTGGCCAGTTGGCCCCCTAGAACTCCAAGAGGATGGCATAGATTGAATCTAGTATAACCAGGAGATATACTGATTACCTAGAAATAACTCATCAGAGCTAGGCTCCAAAGAACTCTGAATTTCTGCTGTGTAGGTCCCATTTCTACATAGGAAGTTACTATCTAGGCCAAGGGAGGTTGAGGCTCAAAATTCTTTAAAGAAATCATAGGGGAAATCTTAGAATAGATTATTTAAGCAGACTAATACAGGAAAATGAATATGTGGGCATGGCAAATCATACCCCATTCAGATTTTCATTGAGGAGGAGTCCATGCAGTCTCTCCTACATGTTGTTCCTATGAAGAAAGCATGAGCTCTTTAGACTTAACCTCTGAGGTTTTTGATGACCTCCATTACCCTTGTATTTTTTTTTTCTGGCCAGTTGTGTGTGTGTGTGTGTGTGTATGCACAAGTGTGTATATGTGTTCTCCAAGAGTCATCTCCTTCAACAAAGCTATAACAGTTGCTGGGAACAGCAGAGCCATCTTTTGTACCTGTTCATTATCAAGGTAAAGATACTCATCTCTCCTTTCCAGTGCAGTCTTTAAATTGGTTAACTCACTTGATAGCCTGCTGAGAATTATTTAATAAATAATTAAACTGCTATCAGGAGCGAATGAGTCAGGACCTGGTGTTTTCAGGCTTCTTTGAAGAGGAGGGCTGGGTGAGGGAGCTCAGCTAAGGCAAATAATTATATTTGTTTTTCTAAAGGTGGTGAGGTGGAATTCAAATCTGATCTAAAAATCTGAATGCTGTTTTGAGAGGCTCTCTAGTTCATTTAATCCATCCCTTGTGTTCATAAAGACTTCAATCTCAGTATAAACAAAATCCCATTATTCTTAGGGGCACCCCATCGCTGGTGAATGGACATTCAGCTGTGTTTACCACCATTCATTTTAGCTTAATCTCATTTTCTGTTCTCCTTTCTTTTAGGTTAACAATTCATGCTGAGTGCCCCATGCATTTGGAAGATTTTCCTATGGATGTGCATGCCTGCCCACTGAAGTTTGGAAGCTGTACGTATTTTCTCACTTTCTGTTTACCTGATCTTCTTCCAAAAGAAACAGTATTTCCTGTTCCGCCCCCTAGTAGTTTCTAAAGCTGAAGCCTTGAATTCAGGGTGGTATGGGAGTGGGGAAGGGGAGTGGGGTTGAATAATACTAAGTGATCAGAAGGAGGAGACTTAGCTTTTAATAGATTTCTTTCTAGAAAGAAAACATTATCTCACCATTTCAGACTCATTTCTGTCATTAGATTGAAAGAATAACATCTGTTTTCTAAATTGTCTAGAAGATATAGCAAGTAAGAGCTAATCTACTGTGATGAACACTGGGTGTTGTATGTAAGTGATGAATCACTGTATTGTAACACCTGAAACTAATGTTACACTGTATGTTAACTAACTGGAATTTAAATAAAAACTTGAGAATGAATGAATGAATAAAAAGACAGAGCTAATATAGAGTATAGTAGCAGCTTCTAAAGGATAAGATCCCCAAAAGAGAATGTGTTTTTATTTTTGAAATGCCTATTCTATTTGCATCTCATATAGTTCTATCTAATTCTCTACAGTAAATGGTAAATAGAAAGAGACTCTGGAGATTTTCTCATTTTTACAGATTATTGCCTTTACCAGTAACTGTAAATCTGAAAGAGAAATGAGTAGATACATAGCCCATTTTCAAATAAATTCAAAAAATCAAAATTGAATAGAATTTGAGTGAGTTTTTAACTCTAAGAATTTTAGAGTAAGTTTGATATAAGGAGTCATCTGAGCAATATATCAAGGTCTGTGTTGATTGCGTCTAAATTAAATTTAGCTCTATATTTTGAAGTAGAAAGTGCATTTGAAAAGATCCAAATAATTACATGTGACATATTTTTTCAATCATTGTCAAATACTTATAAATTGTCTCTTATGTGCCAGGCTCTACTGAAGGAGTTTGAAATACATCCATGAATAAAACAAAGACCCTGTCTTTGTGGAGCTCATATTATAGAGGAGAGATTGATGGTGGAAAATAAAATAAACAACAGATTAAAAAGTAAAGTATAAAGTATGTTGTAAAGTGAAAATCACCATGGGAAAACATAAAAGTACTACAGAATAAGGGGAATCAGTCTTGTCTAGGTGGAAGATAGGTGTTGCCATTGAAATTTAAAATAGGGTAATCAGCACAGGCCTCTTTGAAAAAGTGACAATTGAGCAGAAATTTTAAGGAGGTAAAAGCATTAACAATACAGATATTAGAGGAAACTGTGCTCCAAGTAGAGGGAACATCCAGGGATAAGAAGCTAAGTCAGAAAAGTGCCTGGCTTTTCCAAGGAACATTAAAGTGTCCAATATGGCTGGATACAGTAAAGGAGAAAGCACTAGGAAAGGATGAGATCAAAGAAGAGGCCAGGTCATCTAGAGTCTTGTAGGATATTAAAGGGCTTTGAATTTTACTGAGAGAAAATGAGGAGTGGTTGGAAAATTTGGAACAAAATGATTACATTATCTGACTTATGTTTTTTAAAAGAATCATTATGGGTACTCGGTTAAAAATATAAATATGGGAAGAACAGAAGAAGGAAGTTCAGTTAAAAGTGTATTGCAATAGTTCAGATGAGAAATGATAATGGCTCAGATTACAGGGATAGGGGCAACAATAGTGAGAAAGACTATCTGTGGGTGAACAGTGCTCCCCTCATGAACAATTAGAAAACCTAGAACTGTAGAAGCAATGAAAATTGAAAAACAAAAATTCTGGAGAGAGGGTAGAACTTCTCATAGATGAATTTGTGACCTGCATCTTCTTCATTCGTTGTGGTATTTGACAATTCTGGCCATTGATTGCAGCTTAAAATTCAAGTTTTGCCCTAAGCATAGGGCTGCTGCTAGATGATAGGGGGAAAAAAAAGCAATAGTTTTCATGGTTACACAGAGCTAAAGTGATAAAAGTAGAGCTCTAGAAGGTCTCAAACTCTTGGCTAATATCCTTCTCAATACAATTGCTAAATCTTGAATATGCACAAATCATAAGGCTAAAAAAGAAAATAAAAACCTCTGAAAAGTAAAACTGGCTTTCCTACAATCTACCAATGCTATAAAAAAGAAGGTATGCCAGGCACTCAGTTTAAATCTCTAGAGAAGTTATGTCCTAGTTACAAGGGAGCAGCAGAGACATACCAAGTTTAACCAAAACTAGAATTCAACTCAGTCCCTTATGGGATTAAAGTTATAATTCTCCCACACTATCTGTTTAGCAAAGGAAAGAATGAGGCCTTTCTGGTGGAAGTCAACATCATCTAAAAAGTTCTACAGATTATTTACAAAGTAGGCAATTCAATAAAAAAATCGTGAAGCATAACAATACACAGGACCATATGACCTAAAACCAAGATTTTAAAACAAAAAGAAATGGAATACAGAAATAGATTAACAGGTGACCCAGATATCAGAGTTTGTAGATAAGGGCTTTTAAAAACTATGGTTAATATGTTCAAGAAAAAAAAGAAAAGAATAAAATAGATAAAAGAGATAAAAAAGAATTTCAACAGAAAATTGGAACTATAAAGAAGAACAAATTAGAAATTACATATGGAAAAATACACATCCAAAATTCAGAATTCAATGGATAGATTTTTTTTTACATTTTTAAATTCAAGTTCAATTAATTAACATATAATGTATTATTGGTTACACAGGTAGAGGTCAGTGATTCACCAGTCTTATAAAATACCCAGTGCTCATTACATCACATGCCCTCCTTAACATCTATCAACCCCATCCCTCCCACCACCCTCCCCTCCAGCAACCGTGTTTGTTTCCTATAATTTAGTCTCTTATGGTTTGTCTCCCTCTCTGGTTTCATCTTGTTTTATTTTTTCCTCTCTTCCTTGTGATCCTATGTTTTGTTTCTTAAATTCCACATATGAGTGTGATCATATGATAATTGTCTTTCTCTGATTGACTTATTTCACTTAGCATAATAACCTCTAGTTCCATCCACGTCATTGCAAATGACAAGATTTCATTCTTTTGATGGCTGAGTAATATTCCATTGTATATATCTATACGACTTCTTCTTTTTAAATTTTATTATGTTATGTTAATCACCATACATTACATCATTAGTTTTTGATGTAGTGTTCCATGATGCATTGTTTGTGTATAATACCCAGTGCTCTATTCAATACATGCCCTCTTTAATACCCATCACCAGGCTAACCCATCCCCCCACCCCCTCCCCTCTAGAACCCTCAATTTGTTTCTCAGAGTCCATA